TCTTTTTTTTAAAAAAAAGAATAAGTAAAGTTTTTGGTTCAATCAGTGAAAAAAAAAAAAAAAAAAAAACTGTTTGGGCAAACATCCAACCCTAACTCAGATCAGCACATACACCTTGGTATGTAACTCCCTTTCTTCACCTAAACTCATGATTTAAAACCAAATCTTTCACCAATTTTTTTTTTTTTTGCCTGTATTCATTTCATTTTCTAAGGACTTGGGTTCCAATATAAGCATGAGATCCTTTTCTTCAACTTTCTCATCCAAGGACAAGAATTTTTGAATGTACCAGTGATGATAGGAGGTCAGAAAAGGAGTGAGTTTGAAAGCAAGAAGTTCCAGATGTAGGCTGCTGAGCCTCACAAACAATGGCCAAATATAAAGTTTCAAGAGCCCAGAGTTGCACCAAAGAAACCAAAGAAAATTGATTGATCAGGGGCTTTTGATGAAATTCCATTTTTGATCAATTCTTTGGTCTTAACCTACATGTCAGGGAGAGGTCTTGTTGGAAGGCCTAAGAGGGGTGCATATCTGTAATAAACTCTAACTCTGGGCTATAGTTCAACTCAAAATCAAGACTTACTAAGACAATGACAAAGCATAGTTCAAAGCTGCATCTCTGGCTGATTGGCTATGTGCTAAAGGAAGACTGTCAGAGAGTGGGGTTATATTACATGCCAATACAGGTCTTAATGTAATATAACTGGCACTTCTGAACTGATAACAAGTCAATCAAGACTTACTTATCAAAGTACTAGTTATTTCTAATGACTAGAGAGAAAGTTTGGCATCTGAGAGGCTCTCAACAAGGGATGGGATTCAACAAAGCTAGGGGTAAAAGATGGCAAATTCTTCAGGCTAATAATTTTTGGGAAATAATAGTGCTAAATGATAGTAGGTAAAAGTTGATTGAAAAATGATAAGTGAATGAATGTAAGAAAGAGCATGAGAGAGACAACTATTTAAAGACAGGAACTGAAACAAGAGAGAGAAAACAAGACAGCTTAACCACAAGAGGAATATCTGAATCCAGCCAATTACAAATGAATGAGTAATCAGGAGATGATGTAATCAGAATAGAAATCCATGACAAGTACCAATTATTGATGCTGTTATTTATAGAATGAAAGGCTATGACCTGCAGTCTGAGCTCCAGACCTTCTATCTTCCATTCCACCAGATGGGGACAGTTGGTTTTGGATATTGGCAGCACTGTGTGTGACCAATACACATGCACATTCCTAACTGGGCTCTTTCCATGAGATATCTCCTTTCATTCTCTTGACAGGCTTAAATGGATCAAGGTTTCATTTGACTGTACATGTGAGAATGAATTGATGAAAAGATAGATTGAGAGAAATGAGATAAAAAAGAGAAACATATCTTAAACAGTCCATGAAAGCAAGTTCTCAGTTTAAGCATAGATTATGCTACAGTATGAGTACTGGTTGTTACACTATAGTAATTACATGTACTACTCATTATTACAAGTGTTCATTTATTTACAGTTAAATTATTTACAGTAAATGGATACAGTACTGTGTGTGAGCTACAGTACTGTATGTAAAAGTGATTACAGTACTGATTTCATATGTAATGTTATCAGTACTCACCACCAAGAAAATTGCATCGCATAGAGGCATGCTATGTCACATAGCAGGCCAAGATGCAATGCAATAGGTCTATTTTCCAAGGTAGGGACCTTGAAAAATGGTCTATAGTATCACATGGAGACATGCTATGTTACATAGCAAGCTTCCATGCGATGAAAATATGTTGGCAGTGACTATGTGTAGAAAGTAGTTACAGTACTGATATCATGCACTGCCAAGTTATTTGTATCGGATGGGCCTATCCGATGTTCTATCACCCTGAGATATGCGATGCAGTGTCAGTAGGATTAGGTGCGATGGAATTACACTGCAATATGGTGTCAGAGCATTAGATACCGATAGTAATTCCATCGCACCTAATCCTACTGACACTGCATCGCATATCTTGGGGTGATAGAACATCGGATAGGCCCATCCGATACAAATATCTTGGCAGTGATTGGTCAATTCTGTTCTTGCAGGAAAAACTATTTCTTCTTGTGGCTTTTCCTAAATCTCCTTTGGTAGCTTACTTGTGATTTGTTCTGCCAAAGACTTTTGAGTATCCCAAGACAGCCTGTGATTCAGATACTTTGTAAGTTTCTCAAAATTAATGGTATAGTGCTGTTCTTCTTGAGGTCTTTCTCTGGGGATGGTTTGAGGATGCACTCATTTGGGAAGTACAGGAGAAGTGGTGTTTTTTGAAGTATTGAACAGGTCCTTGCAACTTGTAGACAGTACCTCCTTACAAGGTTTTCTGGCCTACTTATTATGTTGGTGTGCTTTGTTCTGCAAGTGAGAAGCTCTACCTATTTATGCATAGTAGATCTTTCTCTTGAATATGGGTTCTGTGGCCTTTGATACCAAGAATTTGTGATGGAAGTGTTATTTTATACTTTGAGGCCTTTGATACTAGGCCTCTAAGAGGGGGAATTATTTATTATGTTTTTTTGATGTATATATATATATATCTGTACGGTTTTTCTTCATATGTTGTGCAACTAATGGTCCTGAAGCTCCTATGGATCATCAGTCATCTGGAAGAGTTTGAGAGCTGAAAAAAAAATCTTCCACACCAAAAGACCAACATACAGGGTCAAGTCTCTTGTGCCTCAACATGAACCAGTCTGCAAAAATTTGTTGAGGCACAAAGAAGGTGTTGGGATACTGTACTCCGTAGCAGTAAGCCTAGTGGCTACAGATGCTTGTACTGAGAGTGTCTGTCTGATACGCGAGATGCAGACCAGGTGGAAGGGTTTCCTTTTTCCTCACCTTTCCACCTGGGTACATATCTGTATGCATCTCAGGTCAGTCTCACTTATCATTCTTTTGTTTCTTCATGTTGTGTTGTTGAAGTGTTGAATGATAATCTCACCTTCCCACTTGGGTACATATCTGTACGCATCTCAGCTTTGCCTGTTCATCAGAAGGGACATTGTGGAAATAGCTCCCCTGTGACTCAATTTCACAAAATGATATGGAAAGAACAGTAAATGTGAGGGCAAGGTTTACCAGGGTCCAAATTCATGGACAACAAAAACTATAATTAGTGAAAGGGGTGCCCCTTTAAGTCTTTGAGACACTGGAAACACAAGTATTGCGCAGACAACTACCTCAAATCAAACTAATGTTGCTTCTCAATGTAATTTCAGGAGACTTAATCCTGTTTACCCCACTACCCCTTCCCCTTGACGTAACCCCAATGCCCATTTGCATGCGGGCCAACCCGTTTTTCAAGCTTTATGGGCCCGCTCGCACCTTTCGGCGTGATCTTCTATGCGCCCCAAGGGGCTTCAAGGTGTATATTTCCAAAACAACTCAAGGAAGGGGTAAAAAGACCTGGTCAATATGGGGGTCGAACCCATGACATCCGCATACCACTCACAGCCCGAGCCGCGGGTTATTAGTACGGCACTCTAACCAACTGAGTTAATCGACCGATGACGTCATCCCCACGGTATGGGCACACATACAAGAGGAATCCAACCATTCCTTCACCTTTACTGTTAGAATACCTGGGGTCGTGGAACTTGAGGACGCAGCAACAGAAAAAAGACACTCAAGAGCCAAATGTGATGATGTGGTTGCAAAAGGTAGGTCATATTTTAATGTGATAATGAGATCTTGGATCACCTCTCGAGCGAATCTGTACGATTTCGAGTCGCGTATGATTATAGTAAGCGACAGCGGATTATGATGGAAAATGGTGTTCAAGATGTTAAACAAAGGTGAAAATTCATCGAGGTCTAAAACAACTCCTCACACCAACTTACGAACATTGAATGCGTTATTGACGAGTATCTTTCAAGGCAAAGGTGACCTCAAAATGGGCTATCCTTTTATTGATCTGATCATTGAGCTTATTTCTTGCTGCCATGCCAATATCAGTGACCTACCTGACTCTGTCTGCTTCATAACCAGTTTCTTGATAATGAAAAGGGTATCACATACAAGGGTTCTGTTCCATGTCAAACTTTCACTGGAATGCTCAAGATATAGGAAGTCTTCACATAAAGCCAGGGGTCAGATTTGGGACCAATTAACAATGACAACCAGAAGAAAATTGAGAAGCATGATCATGAGCACAAGTTACGCAGTATAGTGCAGCGGTCAAGTTGGAAGGGTGCATTTGAACCTAAGCAAGAGACTCGACATAAAGCGTAAGGATGTAGGATAAAGCATGAAGCGGCTTGATGATGAGATGAAATCTAAAGCAAAATAGAGTACATCAGTCCATCAGAACCTCAAGGTAGGTTGTAATTTCAATTCGAGCAAAAACAAACCTTCATAAAAAATAATAATAATAATAATAATAATAAAGTTAGACCCGGGTGAATTTGATGGGTTCCACTTGTTTTAGTAGTAAACTTGATAAATGCTTGAGTCGTGATAATCCTTGACTGAGACTTTTATTCGTCCACTCTTCATCATGCTCCGGTTCATATTCAACATGCCCGTCTTCGTCAAAACAAAGACGGTGAGTTGTGAGCCCCCAGCTTCCGAAAGTTTCGAGTAAGGATAAATGATCAAGGATGTTTATGATAAAGCCGTTCATGATTCCCTTCACGTATGGGTTGTCCGTTTATGACCTCAACTCTCCAAGTTTGGTGTGATTCCTATAAATTGAAAATTTAATCTAGTACATCAATAATGTTTCGATGGCTGTCATCATCCATGAGACTATACACCATTTTATTGAGTGATTATTTGAGTACCAAATATCTACTGTCTATCATCGTCTCACTCCAAGGAATCACTTTCACTCTCCTATCTTAAATCACCTGGTCTCGTGTACCATCAAAATTGATTAGATGCGCAGACTAAAAGAGTTCCAATACCAAACCGTGTGCTTGCAGCCAAATCATCAGTTGTCTCAATCCGAACTACACGCAAATTGCATATCGTCCAACCACATCATATATTGACGTTCACCCAACAAGATACAATACATAAAATATCATTTAACACAAAGTCAAAGAAAATAATGTCACCCTAACACATGTAGTTCCATTTACTTAAACGAGTCCACCTGAAGACAACACATCAATGACAGTTTTCTGCGCCGTCCGCATTAGATCCTTATGTCGTTCAGTTTCACCACTATCACATAACAACCTAACCTCAACACTATCTAAGAATTCCGCTAAACCATCTCCCATCTCAGTCCTGCGTGCTTTCCCAAATACATTTTCTAATCCAGTACGATCAATACGATATGAGATGGTAGATGGTGCAAGACTTGGAGAGGTAGAATGTACAGAAAGTATGATTCGTGAAAGCAGTTTGGTCAAAAAATCATATGTGGTCTGGGATCGGAGTTGACCAAAGGGTAAGGACTGGTTTCATAAAAAAAATGGTTGACGGGATGAGTTGAAATAAGGATTTGCAAGGATTAGTAATGGTCTCCATGTACTTTAGAACCGATGAAATCAGGTTTTTTTCAAAGTTTTATTCAAATGACTGACCTTCAAGACGGAGATTGGTAGAGAACTCTTGGCGATCCACCACCCGTAGGCTAAAGCAAGATGAGCGACCCGTTTACTCATTGATTCATCTTCTTTATCGGGTGAGGACGCCCCTTGAGTAGATTGGGTAAGACCTTTCAACATCTCCCGCCCTCCAACTTCAGTCTCACCAAGTTCCCGAAAGAAATCCCAGAGTGCGAATTGAAGTGTAATCTGGAACGAATGTGACACACTAGCTAATTTTTGACCAACAAGCGTGTAATAAGGATTATAAGTGGCTTCCTGTTGATGAGAGTTGTATTAGTTTACTATTCGAGACAAGAAAATAAATAAAAATGAGCTAAACAGTGAAGTTGACTTACATTTCCCAAACAATGAAGAAGCACTCTAATAATCTCTCGCTGTTGAATAGCTGTCAGACCCAGCCGATCTAGCTTTTCTGATGCATCAACGTAATCCTATCCGCAGTGTCCCCAACCACGACTAACTTTCGTTGAGTATGATAACCGTCCATCGATCAAAATGGCAGTCAGTAGAAACCAACTAACCTCAGCCGTCATCAGCGTGGTAAACACACTTCGCCGTACATCCGTATTCATTCCCTGTTGTTTTGCTAAACGGACAAGAGCCTCATTCGTATCGGCCGCGGTAGTAGACTTGCTTTCCAACTCAAGCAACGGATCGCCATCCCAAGCGGCACCGATCAACCACCACTTTCCACGCTTCTCGGCTTCCTTTAGATCCTTCAGCGTCAATTGTAAAGGTTCCGAACTTGTGGCTATAATAGTTGCTCCCCAAGTCAGTCACTGATCTTTATATAACTCTCTCGAGATATTGATAAGGTTGACTTACATGACTTTTTAGCCACACCACTGAGGTACTTCTTAAGCGTTTCCTTCAAATTTTCAACTGCACTACTAGCCGCCTGAGCCTCTTTTCGAATCTTATTGTTCTTAAGATCAAGAAGAGTTTCAAACATAAATTTGGTACGTGAACTATGAAATATGGATATTGAAAATATTTCAATATTCAGTTTACCTAACTTCTCATCATACAAGTTATTAAAGAGTTAAGTAAAATTCTGACCTTGCTTGTGCTCCTTCTCCTTTATTAGCCTGAGCCATTTGTACAATCTCCTTTAATGCCACCGGATCATCATGTCTTAAACGAGGTCCAGCATCTAAAGCCATCATGAAAATATAAGTCAAGAACATCTTTCAGTGAAGTTTTGCTCACGAACAAAACAAAACTTTTGTTTGACTTGAAAAAAAAAAAAACTCAACTCTTTAAAAGTACCAAAAGACCTTCTACCCTAGCTTCATTCAAACCTTCATTAATCAATAATCTTACAATATCATATACTAACGGACAACCAATTACTTGAAAGAAGTAAAGATGAGAAATGAACCCAAGTAAATTTATTCCAGTTTTACCACTGTTAAATGAATTTGAATCACTTTTTTGATAAATTGTACATAAACGTAAACTGAGAGATGATATAAAGTTAGGTGCCCATCCGATTTCAACTCCTGAGACTTCTATACCACCTCTACAGATAGCAGCAATTAGAGCAGAGTAAGTAACAGCTAATGATGCACCTAACTCATCATGAGATCCAATAAGTTCTAAAATGACTTCAATTAAACCTTCTGTCACAATCGCACGCGGATGAGATCTGTAAAGCCCACTTAAACTTTCAAGGCAAGTAGGAATAGTTGTAGGTGAGACCCGATTAAGTATACCCATAAGCTGACGACGAAGACGAGGATCAAGTTGAGGTTTGAGATTGGTTGTAGAGTCATTGGATGATACCTCTTTTTGGCGTAAGTGGGGTGGTATATAACGAGTAGGAGCGGAAGTTGATGCAGAATTTTGAAGATTTTCAGATAGTTCTTTGGGGGCTTCGATTTTGGGATCGAGAATCTCTTCACCACTAGGCTGAAGAGTTGATGATGATTGTGTTGTATCCAATATCGGTTGTGTTTCATTATCATCGTCGGTTACTATTTCACCGTGGCAGCCTGACCACTCAGACTCATCATCTGACACATCTTTCTTCCTTGCAGCTTTGGGTTCGTCATCTGATAGCTATGAGGTGAATTGAAAACTTGATCAGCTGGAACAAGATGAGCTTTAAGAAAAGGAAGAATCATCAAAGGTAGGGTAGAGAAAAATAGGAGAGAATGATTGAAACGCTAACCGGCTGTTGTAAATTTTCGACCAGCTTATCGAGCGCCTCCAAACCATCGAATAAATCTACGTAATCCTTTACCTTGTTAACGTTTTTATAGAGAAAAAAAAGGAAATGACAAACCTTCAAGTCCGTCTTCTTCAAATTCTTGTCGTAGCTTCCTCTTCCCATTTGAAGAACTATTACCTAAACCCAACTCACGTTCTAACCAAGCAATTCGTTTATCTTCTATATCTTCTTCCGAAGAACGTTGTTTACGTTTTTTCGATTTAGGTATTACTGAAGTTTTAGCATCTTGACGTGCTACTAATTTTCCAAGAGCAGTGGTAGGTTGGGTAGGAGGATCAGGCTTGATTATCGACTTCGATTTAGGTTTAACTTTGGTAGTCTTAGTGTGAATAGGTTGAGCTGATTTCTCTCTAGTTTGACAATTTGGTGTTCGATGAGGTTTACGCGATGATACACGAGATGATGATGATGATGAAGTTGGAGGTGGATGACCTAGCGCAATGAGTTCAGCAGTGATTTGAGGTGGTAAAGTAAGTCCAGTTTTGAATCGACCAGTTCGATGCTAATCCGGTTATGAGTTCAATTGGAAATGAGGTGAGTACTAATATTATTTTGATGATAGATTTAAAATATTCACTCACTTTAGTTCTTTTCTTTTCCTTTGATTCAGCTTTAGCCTTGAACCTCGACATCCTTTTGTAGTTGACTGAGTTCAAATTTTTGAGGATCCAATTTAAATTCTCACTGCAAGGATTCCTAAAACTCTTTTCACTC